ATACATTCATGGCGACAGTTTTTCCTGCGAGGGATGGTGTTTACCATCAGGATAATGCACAATGTCATAAGGGTGGAATCGTCACGGATTGGTTCGAGGAACATTCCAGTGACTTTCAAGTCATGTCTTAACCCCCCAAATTCACCTGCCCTTAATCCAATAGAGCATTTGTAGTTCTACTTGGAAAACCAAATTCATGCTGCCACGTTGCCCCCTTCGTAATGTGAGGGAATTGCAAGACCAGTTGGTGAGCGCTTCGCACCAGATACCTCAGGCTACCTATCAGTACCTTGTGGAATCAATGCCACGGCGGGTGCTAGCAGTTTTGAGGGCTAAAGGTGGTCATACATGTTATTAGAAGAGTGGTCATAATTTTGTGGTTCTTCGGTATATATATATATATATATATATATATATATGTGTGTGTGTGTGTGTGTGCTGACTAATAATTTTAATATTTTAATTAAATTTCGTTAATTCAAATTATTATTTACTGATTGATAATTATAATAGTATGTTTTCATACTTAAAAGATTTCATTAAAAGACTTACTGGGAGAGGCATTCTCTAAGTAAATGATCAGATAATCATCTCTGTCTGATCTGCTCTGTTCGTGATAGAATCCTAAAGCATGGCCTAACTCGTGAACAACAGTTCCCACATACATGCATCCATTGCCGAGAGATAACAGCTGCTGTGTGCTTACTCTGCCCACTGATGAGTAACACCTTTAAAGAAATTTGTTTTTTTTTAATAAATATCTCAACACATTAATTTACTCAGCTTAAGACAACAAATCTAGTTTCCTTTAAAATTACAGAGAGAACGGAACCGTCAACATAATAACGTAAGGGTGATCCGTAATGACTAAATTTACTTATATTTTTGAAATTGTTGATGAAAACTATTTATATAGAATAAAATTAAAGAAAGGAAAAAAATGCCTTAATAAAAAGTTTGGTCTTATGCACTAAGACTAAATCATTAGCTAAATCCGATGATAACCATTTCGGTATTTTTGTGCTAGATATTTTAGAGTTACGCTTAAAGGGAGTAAAAAAATATTAGTTGAAAAAGTGGTAGATCTTTTGAAAGAAATGCTTTAAAGACCAATTTCTAAAGTAACATCAGTGACGACTTCTTTAAAAATCTTAGATAGGTGGCGCTGCATGCTTTCCTACTCTGGAGTTGGTATTTGGTGCAACAACCAAGATCTTGCAAAACTTACGATGGTTAATAGAATAAATCTGATTGTTCATGCATTTAGAATTTATGATTAAAAAAGCTGTAAAAAAGTTCATTTTAACAAAAGGTCAAGAAAAAAAAAGGTTACGATGAATGTCTTACGATGGATAGTTGCGATGGGATGGTTACGTCCCATAAGTTACGATGCATAAGAAGCAGCTGAAAGAGTCTTACGAAATACCAAATATAAGGAACAGGAAGACATTTATCATCCAGCAATCTCATCAAAGAAAAGCTATAGCTAACGACGAAAATTTTGTCTAAGCTTTGAAATTAAATCTAGCATCCTCAATTAATGTGTATAATTTCTTGCAAACATTTTGTTTTACCTTCTTACCCATGCCCGGAAAATATTTTTATATAAGCTTCTTCACTTGTTCTGGGAACAAATCTCACGCATGTGTTCTTGTGATAATCATCGAAACCTTGCTGAATAAGTTTTGTCTGACTACCTAGAAATAATAAAAATGAAAAATTATCTATCCATCTATATATATATAT